CTCCCAACTGCACTATTTAATGATGGAAGTGAGATCCTCTGCAAAGCACTGCCCTCCCTATTCGAACGGATCTGGAAGGGTGTCCCGGTTAACTGGAGCGAATTGATTATAGTGGCAATATACAAGAAGGGCAGTCGCACAGATTATGCTAACCAAAGGAGGATGAGCCTAACGCCTGTTTTGACTAATCTACGGGACTCGATTTTCTTTTGTTGCCTCAATGTGGAACGGGAACCTCAGGTTAGGAAGAGTAGGCAGGTTTCCGCCCAGGACGTGGCTGTATAGACCATATATTCACTCTGCGGCAGGTGCTAGAGCAGCGTCACGCATACCGCGGACCGACAATAGCTGTGCTTCTCAAATTCAAGAATGCGTTCGATCCAGTCAATAGATCCACGAAAGATGTTAACATCCTACCTGCTCTATACTCGAACACTACAGATCGCGTCAGGGTTTACAGTGACCTGTCGGATAGCATTCCGACCACAAGTGATGTTCGTCAATGTTGTCTGATTTCCTATTTTTGTTCGGTTTCGTTGTTTATTCTATCATGCAACCTTCCCTTGCATAATCTCACGACGTAGGCTTTGAGGTCCTGTCTGGTGAAAGGTGAGTTGATCTTGATTATGCGGACGATATCGTCTTGCTTTTCGACCATGTTGCAGCCGCACAATCAATCCTGAATAGTCTGTCCAGAGTGCTTCCATTATTTAGTATGCACTTTGCACCTTCTAAGTGGAAAGTGTTGCTGCAGGACCAACAGCCACTTGGTGACACCTTAAACCTTGGCAACAAGGAACTCGAGGTGGCTGATCAATGCGCTTATCTTGGCAGCTGCATCAGCAACTATGGGCGCATAGAAACTGATGTCAACTCACTCCGTTCAAAGGCCAGAGCTGCCTGCGGCATCTTTGGAGACAGAAGGGAGTTTCCCTTCATCTGAAAGGCCGGGTATACAAGGCCACAGTGAGGGCCATTCTACTCTATGGTAAAGAGACTTGGCCCCTTCGATCTGATAATCTGAGGCGCCTTCAAGTATTTGATCATCGTTGTCTGCGAAGCATCTCTGGCGTCGGATGGCACCAACGTGTCCGCAACAATGAAATGGGTAGGCGAGTACTAGGTAGTGTTAATCATGCGAGCTGCCTAGAAGAACAGAAAGCCTTGAATAAGTTGCGTTGGCTCGGGCAAGTATTACGTATGCCTTGTCACCGCTTACCTAGGAGGGCCTTGTTTATTCTGCCAGAAGTGGAATGATGTAAAGCTAGAGGTTGAGAGAAGTTGACTTGGCAGAGGGAAATGAAGACCCTGACGACCAAACTGGGGGCGGAAGTTCCTTATCGTCTTCCGGGATCGAGTCCAAGTAACTCGCCTTGTGTTTGGCTCGGGACTTTACAGGATATGGCTTGCAACCGACGCCAGTGGCGCGTCTGCTGCCGTCTCCTAATCGGATTGCTTGTTTAAAGTCTATTTGGTGCCGAGTTATCTGCGGACTATTGGCCGTTTATGTAGCGGGGCAGTGAAAGTCGCAGTGACGCTGTCTCACCTATGCCGTTTTTCTTTGCATGCTAGTTGTTTGTGACGGTATGTTGTCTACACAAGGTGTAGACGCCATGACATTGTATTTTTACTTAGGAGATTAAAGTTTTCCGGTAAGTTCCCCCTCTCTCCCTTTTGTTATTATTTATTTCGTAGGTCATCATGCTTGTATGGCAGCGAAGCATCAGTTCAAATAGCTGATGTACTGCTGTTATTGATTGATTGATCAGGAAACCGAATTAGATTACGGCGATTTCAACTCCAGCACGAGGCCATATATATATATATATCGGGTTTCGGATTTGCATGTCACTGTGGCTAGCCACAGGACGCCTGCGCCTACAGAGGGATCATGGGTGGCTTGCGCTGCACCACTCACAGCTCCAATCACACACCTCATATCCAGTGTAAACCCGAAGGAATAAGACCTGGAAGCATGTGGATGGGAGTTTCGTTTCATCAACGGAGCCGGCCCACACTCCTTCACAGACAAACACAAGCACGCTGTATTTGGGGAATCAAGCGCACACAATGCTGTGGCTGGACCATAGTCCGCTCCACACTGAATGCATGGAACCACTCTTCGAGCCTAGCACGGCCACAAGGACCGTGTTCCCCGTCTACTCCAGCAACGACCAACTGTCTCCTGGAGCCAGTATGGACGAGGTAGTGGGTAATAGACAGGTAGGCACCTTGTCAACATGCACATCAAGCGCAGCCACAGCGTGGACGTCAAGCAACAGCCAATCATTCGAAACGAGGAGAACAGTAAAATAAACCGAATACTGCACACAGATACCCTGACCTAACTCTTCACTAAATGAGCATAGAAATAAATTGGTTACAAATAAATCCGTGATAATTTCAAGACGTCAAAAGTATATATTAAGCAGATGCCATAAACGCGTAAAATATTATCGAAGTTAAGCAAACTAGTTTAAGGGACGTATGCAAGTCTAACATGCAGATGTCTAAGTTGCAAATGTCTAACATTTATGTGAGAATATATACATATATATAGTTTTCTACTAGATATCCCCAATGTGTATTGACTGCAGTGTGCAATATTAATCGAGACCATGTTTCTTTTTGGAACAATTTTTGGCTAATTCGTTAGCTGGAACACTACATCATAGTGGCCCACTATTTTTGTTTCGGTTGTTTTAACACTGAACATGTGTAAACCAACAATGCCTAAAACTCCGCATCTCTTTTCACCATTCAAATCCAAAGCACTACTTAAACATAAAAATGGATACCACAAAATATATCTTCAGAACCTCTTACCTGACCGACTATTTGTAACTTATTAGTCTACTCTCAAGGACATCGAGCGACTGTCGCCGAGTACCGGAGTCGAACTATGGTCTGACCACCTAAATTTTGTACATGATGTCACTCACTTGGAAACATACCGTCATATGTTACTGTACTCGTTAGTGATGCTAAATTTCCGAGTTGAATGCTAATTGAGCAGCAAAAAAGCTCCGCAAAGGTGCTTTCCCCATCCACCCAACAGCTTTCCGGAATGTTTCATTCATTACATTTTACTTTCAAACGTTAGAGTAGTAAGCGATAGCAGCAGTTCCACCATTTGTTGCAAATTGTCTCATCAAACTAACGTGAAGAGAAACGACCCCCTCCCCAGCGGTACACAGCAAAGCACGCACCGGTAGAAACCGGTGAGAAACATGAAACCGATTCATCTGAGTTAAACATCTTAATTAGATCATCATATAAAATATACCAAACTATCAGGGAATTCTGATATCGTCTCTGCTAGGGCATAAATAACTGCTATTACGCGACCTAACTAGTAGTATTACACAAACTCAGGAAACGTCCGTATTTACTCAACCTGGACAAATCACGGCCTCCCCTTTGCTTGCAGAAGCAACACATGGCAGAAGCGAAAGGTGCCTGAATACAAAGTATCCAGAGCATATGCCACATAATTTGCCCACAAACGATCACAAACCGACCCCTTACTCCATCGCACTACTCTTTAAGGTACTTTCGAAATTCTCGCACTATATCTCAGTTAGTTGTGTAAAATATTAATTGTAATTAGCATCCTGTTGTACACTTACGTGGTTATCTTAGAAAGTTGAACTGCGTGTTGCGTTTGTTCGTTTGAACCGAACAGACCGCACGCGCACACCCGGCGCCAAGTTTGGATGTACCGCGCTGCTACAAATCGCTGTAGCTTATCATCTTACCCTAGCTACTAGTGTTGCTTTCGAACCACAAAATGGGATCATCAATGAACATTCGTCCCGTTAGTTCAGAGGCATTGCTTCAAAACACGGTAGCAGTAATCGACGGTAGCCGGGTGGACACGTCATGAAACAGACACACTGTCGAAATTTACTCATTTGCTCTACATTCGTAAGCCACCGTGAATCGCTCGGGACAGTTGGTCAACGGAGCAACGCCTGTCTGTTTCTGGTTGTAAAGGTTCCAGCTATTCGGTGACTGATACCCACTTTGTGGAGTCTGTGACCAGCCTGTCTTAAATTAGTGAGGTTAACGATCGCTTTCCTCACTAAACAAAATACCTTTGTGTCTTGGGTGTTGCCCTCCTAAAACCACTGCACTCCATGACGCGTTTCGACGTTATTTCCTCTTATCAGATAAAGATAGCAGGCATCGAACCCGGGACCATTGGGATGTTAGTTGTGACCGCTACCCCTAAGCCACCAAGGTTCACTTCAATGGGAATCGCGGTCCACTTTGAGATTGCGCGTCCCAATCCATCCACATAACGTGCACTTCAAATTGACTTTCAAACCTTTGTATATTGTTTGCCTATGTCCACAGCACAATGATCCTACTTACCTTATGTGAACAGCTAAACCTAATATGGAAAGGAAGTGAATTGGGGATATTCTATTCCTATTTAACGATGGGCATACTTCACATCACATTTCAAGAGATAAGTTGGTGCGCGTGTCGGAGCAGGATACTCACGTCGCCTCGTTTGATCTGACAAGCAGCATATTATCCGCTAACAAAATTGACTACCGGAAGCATATCCCCATCTCATCAATACCATCCTCCTTCTACCAATCCGAGAATAGTTATCAAAATAACGATACTACTCTTAAAGCATGCAACGTTCACATAGCCGTACTGAAGGTCAGTTTTTGACATCATTGAACACTGAAGCTAGCACATTCGTGTCATTAGCATAGAATACCACTGCACCAACTATTTAAAAGTTTGGCATCGTCAGGAAGTTATCTGAGTAGCACGAATAGAACGCTGTTTTAAATCCCACTATTTTGGTCAACCTGACTAAGAAACGCGTTTTCACACAGCTAAACTGGGCAGCAGTAAGCTGAACATATCAAATTCCTGTTTCTACATTTCGATCCGGGTTGTACAGAGCCGCATTCACATTTCCAACCTTAGATTAAATGTGATTGCATGAGAATTTGTTTGCGGGTGACTTTACTCACGACAGAATTGCGGATGCCCATTATCTGAAATATACACCGCGGGCATTTTAAGGGACCTTCGTTTATTGATGTTACTTCGTTGCCTTTGTAACCAGGCTCGAAACATCGCTTGTTTCGAATCCAACGTTTCTTCTGTGTCAGGTTTTCCGATACTGCTTGTCGTCATAGGTCCGGTCGATTGGGAGTCCGTTCGACTCATAAGACGAGACCAATCAATTGTGTCCAGATAGCATAGATTCGGATTTCCAGTGATCAGGATACTTGGATGCCCGATGCGTTGTAGTGAAGCGAGTCCAAGGAATTCCAAGTGTTGGTTTGAGTTAATATTTACCGCTCTCGTTTGTTGAATATTGGGACTGACTAGAAGAGCAGGCGGGGAAGTTGATATGAGATACACAAAGTTTGTGAAGGTAGAAAGCTACGCATCAATTGAAGAGTCAAGGACAATGACTCATTTTAATGACACTTTACTAACCTCCATTATGTGCTTGCCGCTTGGTAATCGAACACAAAGGACGTCGGACGTTATGGGTACTTGGAAAGTGGCTTAAAATTTGTTAACGACTGACATATGGAGCTAAGCCATCTCAAAACAGAGAATGAAAATGCCTAGATCGATGCGCCAACCATACAAAAACCGGAAGAATCATTGGCCCACCCTCTATTGTAGATGTGTCTGAAGCATACCATTATTGATGGACAGAAACTGGCGACAACGGAGCTAGTAGCGAAAGTTAGTTACATGTTTCTTCATAAAAGCTAATACGGGTGTGTAGCTCCACAAAATAAACTCACTCCTGTTATCTTCCCAGTTTTCCGCACGTAAGTCTAAGGGTGTTTACTCTACCACAGCAATTGAGCAATGGTTTATGATGGGTTTAAAAGGAAATGCTTGACAATCCCATATAATGGTTAGGGTGTTTATTATTGTTTCAGTAACGACATAAATAAGAGAATTTTGTCACGTCATTGCTTCACATCAGTTAAGGTTAAACTATATTAAACTCTCTAACCAGTCTGATTTTCAACGGATGGACTGATAAGAATTTGTATATTCGCTTACATTATACCATTTCTTACTTGCTAACATCCTTAATCGCTTACATCCTTAGTGCAGAACCTATCATTCTTAGTGAAATATGATTACCTTCTACCCCACGTTCAACTTAGACTTGTGGATACGTCACAAAAGTGATATTTCATCGCATAAAGAAACAAGTTGCGTGTAGTGATTGGTATCCATTCTGCTGCGACGGAGATCGTTCCGCTCCTTATGTTACGGACAACTTAACTTCGAGGTCAAACGTTAGCTTCTACTGTGCCTTCAACTATATGATCGAACTAGCCTGAATACCCTCCAAAACGAGGCAACCTATCTGCGCCTCTTGTTTAGAGCAACATTTTAGTACCAACCCAACGTTGTGCACTGTTGTCCTGCGTGCATCATTTGCGCCCTAGCCTCAGACATTTCCTTTGCTCACTTACAAAAGAGGCTTGACTACACTACAGGCTTATACCCGGTGCTCTGAGAGCACGCGTTTCCCTTCTCTCAGGGACTGTGAGCGCTCCAATGGATGTCTCAGAGACCCCCATTGTCCAGTTGGAGCGCGCGGCACACTATGCACGGGCTGAGCTCCGCTTAGTAAAGTCTCAATTGCCGTCCATTTGAGTTGGACCACGATAGTCTCACCTAAGTCTCACAGTTTTCCTACCCACCTCCGGAAGCGTGAGCATTCTGCGCGTAACTGTGTTCAGTCTCTACGCTATACCGAATTCTATAGGCTGGTAGCCCCTGCCCAAGCAGTGCTACGTGGATGTAAATGCGATGATTCTCGGATGATAGCCTTTGTACTAAGGAGGAAAGCTTCTGCACTAAGAATGATGACTTCTGCACTAATAATGATAGTTTCTGCACTGCGGATGTAAGCGATTGCATTAGCAAGTGAGAAATGGTATAGTTTGCTTGCCACAAGGGATTAATCTATACCATCGCCCTAAATGAACGAACGCGCTTCGTGATCACTTGCCTTAAGCATACTGGGACTGATAGATCATTCTTTTAACCTACTCCAGGCGTGAGTTCGGTAACGTGAACTTGAGAAGTTAACTCGGGGAGACGAGCGATTTCACGATTAGTTAACACCTACTGGTTTGTGAAGAATGCTTGACAGGTCCCGAAGGATAATTAGGGAGAAAATCGCAAACTTAAAAGATAACCGTGTCGGTAAAAGAACATCTAAGGTGCATGACTCAGCAAGGGGTTTGGAACAGCACGTGTGCGCGTATTCCTGCCTGGATTTTAGTGTGGCTATGATACCGTCCACCGTGTGTTGTGTACTAATGTTAGTATCTGATGGTCATAGGCCATGTCACGTAATGTAAATACGTCAGAGTATCGTCAATGCACTTTTTGTGAAATAATAAGGTGGGTGTATTAATTAGATGCACTGGGAGTGCGTTCCAAGGCTGTGGCACTGATAGGGAGCAAAATTCGCGTCTACATTCCAGTCGGCTGCACTGCATGACCAGCTTAAACTGACTTCTTAGAGATGTGTTTTGACTGCGTTTCAAGAAATAGTGGCATGTGTGATTGGGGTTTCTCAGCAACTGGCACCCCATTATGAGATCGTCTCTTGAACGCTCATAATGTCCGCTGCATCTTTTGTGGGTTTGCAGCCGGAGTGGATAAGGAACGCAGAACAAACGTTTGAGATTCTTCTTCTCCCTGCTTTGCGCTGTATCGAACGCGGTGAGGTGGGGTTTCTGTCAGGGTTGCCCCGTTTGGATAACGTAGTTAGCATGAGGCCTCATGTAGACGCCAAGCATTTTCTGAAAAATTGTGGCGTCAAGCTTCCCGAACGGTCTAGGAAAAAGGCCAAAGTGCTGGTTTGCATTTTTGGATGCGTTGTCAGTCTGCCTCAAACAACCGAAGTCATCTTACACGAGCACTCGAGATCGCACACATTAGAAGCCTGTTGTAGAATTTGTGACCGTAACCGGTAATTGTGAGTACTCTGATGTTGGCCTTGAAGCGCAGCATGTTCTCAAACGGACTATTTACGCGCTTAGTTCAGATAAGATTGTAGGGCTGTTTGCTAGCCCGGCATGTCTTTAGATCGTCGTAAAAATTATGAAGTTTGAAGATAGCAGCCACGCGCGATCATGTATGTAGACGAGAAACAAGCAGGGCACAATTACAAAACCCTGAGGTATGCCAAACTGTAATTCCATTAGTTCGGATAAGGTGTTACGAACTCTCCCATTCAGGTGACGCTGAAAGCGAAAGTCGCTTATATAGTCCATAAACGGATCGCCCATTCCAAACTTCTGAAGTTTTCTGCCGCAAAACGCGACCGTTCAGAAGGTCAACCGCCTTTGAGTGCAAAAGCGCCTCACACTTCCTAAACATTCACATACAATTAGCACTTGAAAACCTCGGCAGCATTTCTAATAATCACTTAAGAAAATAGGTCAAGCATACTCTTAAGGCATCGGCTGGTGCTCGATTAGTCGTTTGGACTAATTTTAACCTGTACTGTGTTTGCTATAAGCCCTCACTAAATCATCCATATTCATCGTTGACGACACGGTTTAGTTATGATGTAGCGCGAGTAGTTACACACAGGCCAATGGTAATTGGCAGTTTTCTGTGTACCACCCAGAGAAGGTTACGCTGGCGATGCTGAAACACTTAGTTCTTCACGCCCGATACCAAAGCGCTCCCTAGTCTATGACGTTTCCCGTTTGATTGCATACACGGTGCAATTGAATTGCTCCCTACGGCTTTGGTTTACATATTTAAACCGATTGAACAAGTGCATTAGTGCAATTGATTTGCATCAGGTATCATTTCTACCCACCAAGCGCACGCAGTGACCTTGGTATTGAGCTAGCCCAAAGAAGACAATGACGGTAGATGTAATAAATCTAGGTTGCATTAATTAGTTGGTGGTGTGTGAGGGGGACACTTGGGCGTTATAGCATCCACTCAGCAACGGTGCAAAATCTAATGCTAGTTCTAAGCAGCTTAGGGACAAAGGCATGTTCAAACACGTGGTGTAACTGGGTGAATGGTTCAGTGTGCCTAATTGGACTATCATCTCCGTTAAGGGATATACTGAGAACGACACAACCTGGGGGTGGGGGCTGCGAACAATACAATACGACACCCAAGTAACGATCTTATTGCGACTTCGGCACTGGCGCACTTCAAGGTTTTGGACAACCTACCATCGCTCTGACATACGAAGGTATCGAGGCTATCAAAGGGGCCCGGCTGCTCATGACGGGGGCGATGTGACGGGCTTGCGAGTAGAGCGACAAAAGGGGCCTGCGAAACCGAAACACAGGTTGGAAGGTGGCCGCCTTGGATTATGGAGAGTCGTGTTGACCGACGGTCTGCTGTGAGGGATAGTGCCGAAACAGAACTGCGCTCATTTTGTTACAAGGCGATTAGGCCCTGTTTCGTTACAGCAGACGTCGTTTACCCTCATGGTGGATGCAGTACACCGAGTTGATGGTCCCTGAATCAAATGAGACACGGCGACCGGGCTGTCAGAATTTTGCATCGACTGACCTGTATGCACATAGTTGGGCGGACCGGTGCGAACCGGACTTAAGGGAGGACTGGTGCGAACCGGACGTAAGGGTGACTAACACCCATCTACTGAATTCATATCCCGTACCCACTTTAGTGGTATGTTCACACATGGGAGTCACGCCCTCGTTGCTCGACATCTTTGTCTGACCATTTCACTGCCTCTACTCCAGCAAAAATACTTGGCCGACACAACGTATAGGCAAGCAACACCTCAGTTTCTTCCTACGGTACTTTTACCTGCAAAGCCCACAATTCCGCGTGGTCGATAACACTAAATTTCCTACCTAACGGCCTGTGAACACGTAGTCCACAATCGCAGATGGCAGTACAAAGTATATAAATGGGTCAAGAAGATAACGCTTGACATGTCCCGTAGGATGTCCGTAATGCAGAGAAAGATTAAATAATGAACGTATCAATAAAATGGAGTGTACCATGGTGACTTGGCAGAGAGATTTACATGGTAACTGGTACACGTCCAGTTAGTTGCAACTAATCGCTCGTCATATTTTACATCTGCGACACGAAGCGGGAACTTCGTGAACATCATTTTATACAGGAAATCCCGTTTAGAATTCCAACTAAGAACGTCAGGAGAGCAAGGTCGTGGGATGGCACTGTTAGGACGACCTACCAGCGCTCGGGTAGGTTGGGGTGTTCGGATATCAGGACAGTAATAGGTGTATGACTAGGGTGACAAAATGTTATGGCGTGCTTGTGAACGGAGCGATCTAAGTGGCCTTCGCAACTCACCATTGGA